GGTCAAGCCCCCTTGGCTGGCACAGCTGGATCAGGCTGGTCTGTCCCCTCCATGAGGCCGGGTGGGGCCCTGCAGCACCTGCCCTGGTATCCGATTGCCAATATGCAGCCCAGCAGCTTGGAGAGCAGCATCCAGCTGGTAAGTCTGTTGTGAGGGAAGGGGCAGTGGGAGGGATGGGGCATGGGGGTGCAGATTGAGTCCCCCACAGTAAGGGTAGAAGGTAGCTAGGGCTGGGGCAGACAGTGTGAGATGGAGCTGTGAGTGGCTTTTCCAGGGGGCATGGGGAGGGTGCAGGGGGAAGCTCCTACCACTGCATGCACCCCAGGGGCAGGCATAGGGGGTGTGTGCTCCCCAATCTGCATGTGGGGCAAGGGCAGGCTGGGGTCACAGTTGCACCAGGATCTTCCCAGCAGGGAAGGATGGGCTGTGCCGGGGCTGTGCTCAGCGTGGGTGGTGGTGGTGCTGGGAGGGGGGTTATTTGGGAACCTACCCCATAGCCCCATTCCCAGTGCCACTGCTGCCCACCCCGAATGCAGCCCCCCACCAGGAAGAGCCTGGTGCTGCCCCCACCCACAGCCTGCACTGGCAGCCTGCCATCACCCCATGCACAGATCCAGGGGGCACATGCCCCATATGCATCCCCTGAGTGTGCGCACAGTGGGGGGGAGCCACCCCCCCAGGATGAGCCACTCGCAGCTCCATCCTGCACCCTGCCTCAGCTGGGAAGTGCCTGCTCCTGCCCCTGCCCCTGCCCCTGCCCGAGCCCCACTCCCTCCCTCACCATGGGGGCCTTGATCTGCCCCCCCCCACACCCCTTCCCTCTCCACCCCTTCACCCCAACAGACTTACCAGCTGGACATTGTTGTCCAAGCTGCTAGGCTGGCTGCATGATTGCTGTGGCTGTATGCATGCACATGACATTTATCAGCAGCATTATCAACCACAAGAGCCAAAAAAAGCTGATTGCCAATAACATCAATTTTCCTTTTTTCGGTCCTGATACAATATAAACTGACGTATCAGTGAACCTCTAGTACAGAGTATTTTTCTTCTTGGTCCTGTTTCAGGAAAACATCCATTTTCAGGATAGTGCTAATGCCTCTTCTTAAGTTTCATTGACTCCAATGGGCCTTAAGCATATATAAAGTTAAGCATGTATTTCAAGTGCTATTGTTAATAGGATAGAATTAAGCATGAGCTATCTTGAATATGAATCTATATTAAGAAGAATCCAAATGTAATGACAAATGATGGCAGACTGCTTTATGACACAGATACTTTAACTATTACTCATGCTGAGTTCTCTGTTCTTCAAGAAAAGGCTTAGATAGTTCTTAATGTGCACTGACAACATAGAAACATTTTTCAACCTCATATCTGCCAACTGCACAAGTCTTACTTCCTGCTGAATAATTTACTACATTTTAAGGATAAATCCTAACCTCATATGAAAAAAAAAAGATTTTTAAACAGTTACAGGAAAAAATAATAGGTTTATCTTAAAATTATCTTTTTCCTAAGAATGTAAAATAGCAAAAATAAAAATGAGGCAATACAATTAGTGTATAAACCCAATACAATAGAATCCATTAAAAGTTGAAGAGACTTGAGAGAGGATGCTAATTTCCCCTGTGGTGGCACAACTTTTTAGAAATGCATTCAAAGCTGCACGGTGTGGTCTGGAATTGATTACATTAATCCATTATCAATTCAGTAGTCTTTAGGAAATGCTTATAGTGGATTTTTAAGGGACAAAGTCTTCTCTCAGTTAAGTTTATCCAATCTCATCAGATTAAACATATATCAATGAAAGCAGATTTTGGCCAGTGTTCTGGGAGAAAAATATTTGAGGACATGTAAGTACAATTCTAAAATCTATTTCAAGTATTATTTCATCTTTGCTTGCAAATCATATATAGCCTTGACTTTTCTTTATGTATCTTCTTTTTGTATGGACAGACAAACTGAGTTAAAGATGGCGGCATACCCCGCACATCAGCTGTTGCACAGTGACTAGTTTGTGTGTCCACTCGTCTTCTGATTTAAGTAGACATTAAACTGGAGAATCTTACACCTTAATGAACTTCTAGGTAAATAAAGGCCTCTGGGTAGAAAGGAGCCTCATAGGACTTCTAAAGTATGTTTAATTTTTATTGGGTATCTGTTAAGCTCGTTACCTATTTTGGTTGGGGATACAGCAGCTTCTCATGTTCTCTTATTCTGCTAGCATTCTTGCAGTGTCTCATGCAGGAGCAAGCTATTTATATTTAGCTTCCACTTACTGTGGAAGAGGAGCAGCAGAGCAAAGCAGTTACTGTGGAAGAGCTGATGCGCAGTAAATCCTTTCCCCACCATTTAACTCGGAAATTTGTTCATCTATTCATAGAAAATATAGCTAGAAGGGATTTCCAAATATCATCTAGTGCAACTCCATGCTTAAAGCAGAATCATCCTTGTTCCTAAACCATCCCAGGAAAATATTTGTCTAATCTGCTCCCAGCTTTGTCTGTCAATTTGTCAACTTCCCACATTTACCTCTGCGTGTTTCTCAGTGGGGTGTCTAACATATTCAGTGCCGTAGCAAGGAGTGGTGGGGGTGAGTAGGGTGACCACCCCACGCGCTGAAGTGAAGGGGTGCCAACAGGTGCTGCCCAGCCGAGGAGGTGCATGGGACAGAGCCAGAACAGTAACAGCTCATGGGGGGGACATGGGTACAGAGGAAGGGTGGCTCCTGCTGCTGCATGTACTCCTGGGCAAGCATGGGGAGGCATGTACCCCATGGATTTGTGCACTGGGCAAGGGCAGGCTGCCGCTGCGGGCTTTGCCCCAGGTGGTAAAATTCACTGCTATGGCATTGAACATGTTATATGATATGCTTAGGCCCATGCTCATACATTATCTATATTTAAGTCTCTGTAAAGATTCATTTCACATGCTGTTCACAGTGAATGAAGTTGACATCATAAACACTATATAGTTTGTCTGATATTGACTGTTATCTTTCTTTTAACCTCTGTGTACTATCTGTCTTTAGTCTATGAATACCTTGGAGCAGAGGCTGCTCTTAAGTATTTGGAAAATGTCTAGAAAATGACAAGCCCAATCACTGAAAATTACACATAATTATAATAAACATAAACAATAAATGAAAGATGATTTTGATGTTTTGATACATTTTTAAGGAGGAAGCCTCCACCGACTTAACCTGAGAGATTTTGGAATTCTTTTAAGAATTATTTTGAAATTATTAGTTAATAATATACACTTGACCTATGTGTTATAAATTTAACTTACTTGTGATTGGTATTTTGTCTTGTCTGAGAGATGCTTTCTTCTATTATCTAATACTTGTTGTTGTACCCTTGTAACAAAGTATAAGAAAGATATGTGAGATTTTAAATATCTTGGTCATACATCTCAAGAGACTACCAGCAGCTGCAGGGAGGAAGTGGGTCTGGGGCTAGGGGAGGGGCAGGTGCTGCACAGCTGGTGGGGCACAGGACTGAGATGGAGCAGCTCATTTTGGGGGTGTGGCTCCTGCTGCTATGTGTACCATGGGAGGCATGGGGAGGCACATTTCCAGGTCTGCTGCCTCAGTTCTGTATGAGGCAGGATGGGCTGCCTGCCAGGGCTGAGGCTGTGGTGGTAGAGCTGGAAGGGGACTATGGGGGTGTGCAGCCACCCCAAAATTTGCAGTAGCCCCTCCGACCCCCATCCCAGCACCACTGCCACCCACCCCAGTGCAGCCCAGCCCCCCCTGCTGGGAAGAACCCAGTGCAGCCCCGGCCCCAGCTCCACCTCGCAGCAGCAGCCCTACTTCATGCAGATCCGGGGACATGCACCCACCCATGCCTTTCCCTATGCATGCAGCAGCAGGAGCTGCCCTGCCTCCCCACATCCCCCCAGATAAGCCATGATTTCATCCTGCACCCAGCCATGACTCGGGGTGGGGTGGGCACAGGGGTCCCAGGGGCAGCAGACCCAAAAAGAAGATACATGTCCAGGTCTGCTGCCAAGCGTGCTGGAGATCCCCCCATGCTTCTGTGGGATGCTCCATCCGCCCCACCAGCTCAGCATTCATGAGCCACTTGGTACCTTGAGGTATGTAAAAAAACCATTTAAAGCTGTGTCTATGTCCGAATCTTTTTGCATCTCTCTGAATTGATTCAGAGGGTTCCGATTCAATTCAGAGAGATTAAAGGGTCTCCTGATTCAATTTGGATTTGGAGATTCAGCCACTAAATCAGGCCAAATCTCCACCAGATTGATTCAGGGACTGAAGTTTGCACAGCCCTAGCAGCAGATTCATTGGTGCGGGGGCTGCCAGAGCTGGACAATGACCCTGGGCATGGGGGGAGGGGTGGCCACATGGGCACAGTGGGCCCCGGCCCCAATCTTGGCTTGGCTCTGCTCCCTCCCGATCCCTGCTCAGTCCCTTACCCAGTCCCATCCTCAGCCCCACTCCCTTCCCCCCTTCATAGTTTCATAGTTTCTAGGATTGGAAGGGACCTGAGCAGATCATCAAGTCCAACCCACTACCATAGCAGGAAAGAGTACTGGGGTCAAACGACCCCAGCAAGGTGTTCATCTAGCCTCCTCTTAAAGACCCCCAGGGTAGGAGCCTGCACCACTTCTCTTGGAAGTTGGTTCCAGATACTAGCTGCCCTGACCATGAAGTAGCACCTCCTGATATCTAGCCTAAATCTACCCTCTGCCATCTTGTGACCATTATTCCTGGTCACTCCTGGTAGTGCTAGGGGGAACAGGGACTCCCCCAATGCCTGATGGTC